TCTCAGATACCAATGGAAAAGAAGGGAACCGTCAGAACCAGCATCCACTAACATAACATTAAGTGATTCGAAGATAAAATCATTCACAGGGTGGAACATGGTTTGAGTGAAAGATTAGAAATTCTGCGTACATGGAGAGCAATATCGCAAGACTAGTGTAGAGATACGCAATCTCTTGAAATCTCTAATCAAACGAAAAGAAAGTTTATTCTGCAACGAACCACAAAAAAAAGAGGGAGGGGAAGAGGCGAAAGTGACCAAGTCATCTGTACATAGAATAAGAGTATCGTGAATAGACCAGTCGAACCCGAAGACCATTAGGAAAACTAGTTTGGTATGAAGTGATACCTCAATATTTTCAATGTTTGCATATTATTCACCTTTCATTAGTTGTTCAACGTATAGGTCGGTCGGTAGCCAGGCGGTTTGACGTGGGTGCTTTGTTCACTCATTCGAATTGACTTCCGTGTTGGTCAGTGGTTCAAGCCCCAGTCTGAACGATCGATTTTCACTTGTTGTCATCCAACCTATGTTAGGAATCACACGTTAAAAGGTGAGACTTCGTTAATCCTCAGCTCGCACAAGTTTCGACTTCTGAGGGTTGTGGTTCGTAGGGGTGCGACAGCTGTTAACGGAAAAACATATTTTTAAACAGATATTTGTCGATTCATCTGATGTTATAATAATTTTTTGGTTTGATAAATTAGCGTTCTTAAGATGTTTACCTTTTATATTATATTTCGATATTAGAAATTCAAATCTCAAATAAAAACTCCTACAATTGGAACAATCAATTTAAGATGGAAATCAAAATCAACTTGTAACGTTTCCTCAAATTAAGTTGAAATGAAACATGTTCTAAATGAGAATATTGGTTAAATTTGGCGACTCTCTATTTCCTAACTAGTTTTCTGAAGATGCGTCCGTTGAAGGAATATAGCATATTCATTCATATAACAATGGGAAGTAAAACGAATCGCGTGTTGCATAATTAGGTCTTTATTTCGCCATAAGCACCAACTCTGGAACGGAGTATATAAAAAATCTTGGAATAAGAATCCGTACGCAGTGCGAAGGCATTTGTGTTCTTTATTATCTTGCACCATTCCTGATATTGCAAGGAAATAGTCTCACGTCTCATTTTATTACTAGTTATACCTCGTAAACCGGGAAGTGCTGGTGAATTGCTACCAATCACGTGGACAGATGTAGAGGAGAGCAAAATTACTCGATGTCTAGACGGAGTTGTGAAATTCCAGAAATGTGGATTTTGGTGTCTAATCTAAAAAATTACACTCACCGGTACGTGAAACGGCCACTTGTAAATTTTGAGCAAATTCAAAGTCTGATAACTTTTTTGTGGATAAAACATTAACAATATTCAATAATAAGTGATTGATGATTTGAACAATGAACAATAACTCATGATAATGGAATAGAAAACCAATATTTATATTGGGCATTAATTTCCCGAACTTGGATGGCAGCAACATTTAATCTTCTTGTGATGCTTCTCATTACACCGCTCATAGTTTTTCCAGGAATAACTGCCTACTGTTCTAGAAGAAACTCCAAAATTCATGCAGGTACCAAGTTAAGAGTTCTTCTAGCAAGCATAATCGATAAGATTCAAATCTGGACTAAGCCGTGAACATTGCATCCCAAGGAGTGTGGGTGTGGAACAACATAAACTCCTATCTTTCAGCATCAATAGATTCTCTAATAACAGGAGAGTCTACACCATAACCGTACTTTCTAGAAAGCCTTTTCTAGGATTCAATGTACTTCAGCTTAACGCTCATTTGTTCTGAGATCTTAAGCAATATCTTGATTAGTTCGTGGATAACACATGTCACATTTTCGGTACAATTCCGAAGATTTTCAGCAAATCGTAGCCTACTGATACTATGCTTCCTAAAAAGTTCAGGTCCTGTAGCAGGTCCAATCTTGATACCAGTTCAGCTGCTCTTATTCATTTCATAACAGTTAGATCACTAATATTTCGCTATAATTCATCATGTATTTGTGATTTTGCTAAATGGCGATCTGTTGATTTCAAATCAACAATTGAAGGTCTCGATTGGTAGTCCTTCTACAAGGACCTGTTCCTGGACGTTTTCAGCTGTATGAACATGTTTCGAGAAAATGATTATGAACACTCTATACCATACTATACCATATTCAGTGGACATATTGCCGTATCTCAGTTGCAAAAACATTTTGCAACAGGTTTGAATCAACTTCAGTGGAAAAAATGGTGTTTCAAAACCTATAAATATCAAGAAAAATTAAAATAATCAATAGGCTAATTTGCATATGCTAATTAAAATCCAACAATGTGAAAATATGTCTAGAAAAGTGTTGCAGAAATGATTACGTGTTCCAAGTTATAAAAAAACTCCTCTGGATAATTTCTATAACTTGGGAACATTCAACTCTTTTCATTTATTGTTGTCAAAACTTCAATAGGCAATTACAATTATTTATTTTAAATGATTCATTTCTGCAATAATTTCAATGATGAGGTATAGTGGAAGGTGCAAGAAATAAGATAATAAAATGACTTATCGAAGAAGTGATTTTTATTGGAATAGAATACTCATTTGTACAAAGATGGTGCTTCAAAACAGCGCGTGTAATAGTTTTTGATTTTTTTGCATTTTCCCGCAAACTTTTTCATGAATCATTATTCAAATATTCCATCTGACACATTTTTATAATTCTGATGGCATGCTTCATTTTTTATTGTGCACTTTTCTGTGTGGATGCTTTCCAATGTAATATGGATCACTTTCCACGACGTTTCATTTATGTCAGATTACAAAACATTTTCAATTATCCACAATTCTGCAAAAATGATTATTTTTTTGTATTCTGTCTATTTTAATGTTTCAAATGATTTTTGTTCACTACCAGCAATCCGTCCCAGCTGTGCATTGTGTAGCAGACATATTTTTTCCTGTCATAGTGTCGCATCAGCTTGTGACTAATAATAACGACTTTTCATAAAATTCCCTCCAACAAAAGTAGTAGTATATTCAATATTATGAAATTAACTTTCAAATCAGGTAAGATTATTTCAAATATTATGTCAAAAATGAGAATTAAAACTTCATGTTATTTACTACTTTTATTTGTTACTAACGCTACTGCAGTTGCATCCTAATAAAAAGACATTTCCAAAAGAATACAATGAACTGATGTTTTTGTACTCGTCTGAAAATGTCCTTTGATTAGATCAAAACTGCAGTAACGTTAGTTACAAATAAAAGTGGTAAAAAACATAAAAAGTTTTAATTCATCATGAATGATGAACGATGAGTAGTAACGACCAAGTCCATCAATTTATCCAAAAGTTATGTTGCGCAAAGCATAATCAATGTACATGAAATGCTCAATGTAACTGACCTACTCAATTTGATAAGTATTTATGTGGTTTCCGTCTATACAGCTTACCCATAACCTCATTATAATATATGACCTCTTTCCAACATTGAAATGTGTATAGACACTTATGTGTCTACACACATTTCGGTGTGTAGTGATACACAGCTCCGCACGTGTATCACTGCCGCACCGATTTCATACCGATATCATCGTCATATTTCAGTCAATGCATAGGAAATAATGATGAATTATTCACATAATCCCTTCTCTTGAATCACTGCGTCCATTGGTAAAAATCAAATAAAAATCCGTTCGGTAGTTTTATAGTTATCGCATCCAGGCAGATGCAGCGGTATTTTGATTTACAAATAATATCAAATGTATACGATTCTGAATCAGTCAAGTAACATATTATTGTGAGATTTTCAACGGAAAGTTGACAAAAAATCAGCATTTGTTTCACCTGAGGATGATACTTGTGTATAGTGAAACATGTTTTGCTGTTTTATAAACTATGAAAATTTCACATTAAGAAAATATTGGCCATTTCCATCACATATCAAGCAATACATCATGTCATTTGTTTTCCCCATATTTTGTCTGTTCTATTGTCATATTCTACATGCATTTAAGGTTTCGGAATTTTTTTCATACTAATGCGAATGAATCTTTTTCACTTGTCTTCTTTTCGAAAAGAATTTCAATTGAGTAAAGATATGATGATAATTTCAACTCAAACTGCCCTTTGGGGCCCCTTAGTCTTTCACCATTTTCCCAAATCATCATTTTAAATCTGATATGTAGCACATTGCAAAAGTCAACATTCAACGAATATTCAAATCAAACTCCTATATTCTTTCTGAAATTTCAAAGCTATCTAGAAATGCAGAAGACCTTTACGAAGAGTCTAGAAAACTGTGAAAAGGGTTTAGGGCCGTTCATGTATCACGTAAGCATATTTATTACGATTATTGCCCCCCTCAGCCCCCGTGTCAGCAAAAGTAATGAAATCTACCACCCCATTCCCATGCTTACGTAAACATTGTTACTATTTGTCGGACTTTGCTTTTAACTTATGATTACGCCACACTTCGTTAACTAACTTTTGTACATTTTGTACTTTCGTATTTGCATGAGATTTTTAAAACTTTCAAATATTTTTGGTATAACTATTTGAAGCGACATCCTAATTAAACAATTCAATTTTGACGAAACAAAACATTAGATATATTGACAGAAGTGAATAGGGCGCGGTAATTCCCATCCTCGGTTCAAAGCGAGTACCTAAATGTAAACATTATTTGTGGGATTCCCCAAAAATGCGTCTCTTTTTCAATTATAGACGATGTGTGGGTTGCCATATGTGTGAAAAAGTAAATAACTATCGCTTACGTAATCAGCAAGCAAATGAAAGACCCCCGGCACCATAAAGTGCTTTCGTAATACTTTCGTAATACAGCCACTTTGGTGGACGTTATTTCTGAACAGCGACCAATTTCAAAATCATTCATCCTCAATTGCTAAATTCATTTTTCTCTAGACCAACAAATTAAAACAAAATACGGACATGCTCTTATCTTTCCTTTGTTCCCGTTATCTTTCCAGTTGAGTACGATAAAATGAATAGCAGCAAAATTATTTCAGTTCAGTTTGATAAGTTTGAGTTGTCACTTCATGTTAAATGGACACTAAAAAGCAGGTAATGCATTTGTCTATGATAATCTTGATTCTATACACATGAAACAATAATGAGGAGGAATCAATATTCAACATGAATAACCACTTTTTAATAACGATAGGACAAAAATCCCCTTGAATTATGAATCTGAATTATTTTTGGAAAAAATAATCATTTTGATATAGGTACATTAATTTTACCATGATGTGTTTTGTTTATTCGAGGTTATATTACTCTTTATACTGCTTTTTCACTCTTAACAAACTGTTCAATCTTCTGAATGTACAACTTCACCATTTGAAAAACGATTCAAATATTTTAAATATTTATTTCGCTTTTTAAATGTAATCCATTCAAATTTGTTGGATATTGTGAGATTCTCACTGAACAGCTTCCTCAGGTGTGTTCATACTGACAAAAGCCATTTTGTAGCGAAACACGTATTGCGGTTTTGTAAACTGTTCAGCGAAAATTTCACTGTGAAGTGCAATTTGGATACGATATGGATTTTCATCAAATGACCGGTCCTGATGATCTATTTGTCACATTTTTTTATCAATGATATCAGCATATTAAATGAAAAAATCTTGTTATATATAGAAACATCTGGTTCATCTCAGGAAATTAGTAGTGGGTTGAAAATACTGTTTTTGTACAACTGTACAACTAGACACTTCTGCATCTCTATTGATGCGTAATTGTTTACTTTTTTCCACCGTGACAAAAAGACTTATTTCCACTACGAAAATGATTTACAAAATGATGATTTATTTTCAACAGAGTCAATTATTAATTGATTATCCATCATATGAGCAATTTGATTTCTTGGAATAATAATTGATGATAAAGTTTGAACAATTACTTCCAACATAAACCCCTGAAGATGTTCCATGTTGCTGCTCATGAGAAATGTTAGATATTTCTTGAAGAGTTTATTCCACAATTTCATCAGGTACTTTGTTTAGAAAAAGATAGACAATTTAATACTTTGTTAGAAATCTCAATTTTCTCATTCATAGTATCTTCTATATATGCCTTTGTTATGGGGGCAGATTTCCAGCCAGCGTGACGTTTTGTGGATGTAATGTTGTCCCCTGCATTGGTGAGAAGAGTTACAGAGCTTCTTTTCTAACAGTTACCTGTACAGCTCTTAGACACGTTTTTTCGAAGCCATTCTGCAATCAAGCTGAAAATTTCTTCTATTTTATTCATCCCCACATGTTGCTGCAGATATTTCAAAATAATCCATTACTTTTTGTATGAGGCGGTTACTCATTTTACGCACTTCATACAAAAATAACTCTATCCCATTCCTCGTTGGTGGAAAAAATATAAATACTTTCCAGGTTGAAAATTCATGCCATTATTTCATTGTCTTGGTGCGGTACTTCACATGAAAATATTGTTATGAATAAAGTCTGATCATTCATTTCTGTTATCTTATCAACCACTTTAAAAGTTTCGCACTTAGTAGGAGAACCCAATGTTACAGTAAAATGCAAAATCATATGACCTATTTATAATCATCAATCTGACGACGATTATCAGGAAGCACAATAGATCCATTTTTAGAAAAACACAGGAACAAGTCAAGTTATTATCGAAGGAGGGTACTTCGTTTTGTTTTCCTCTGACCATGCTGTATATACAATATGAGATTTTATTGTACTGAACAAGTTCGCCAGAAGATATTTTCATTAGCTTGAAATACTGTTTCCGCACACCAGAACTGCGTCATTTATTTCGACATGATTTTTCATCAACTGAGTTGGGGTCATCAGAAAATAACCTGAAATGATTTCTTGGCTCATTTCAACTATCCATATCGGTGAGTTAACCTAACACATGTGCTGAAAAATCCCGAGCCTAAGAAAGACAACGCATTTTTTTAACTGAAAGTTACCTTTATTCATCAACGTTAAATCCTTCAAGATCCACAAAATCATTCCATAGCCGCTTTCCACATTTAGATACCACTTTTGTAGAACGTTTTATTTTTCGCCTCAAAATAGGCCTCAGTTTCAGCAATAACCTCTTCATTTGAGGAAATTTTTCCACCGATGGGCATTTTTTGAGGTCTGCGAACAGCCAGTAGTGGCTGGGAGCCAAATCTGCAGAATACGGTGGATGTGGAAGCAATTCGAAGCTCAATTCATGTAGTTTTCTCATTGTTTCAATTAACTTGTGACTCTGCGTTGTTTTGTAGAACAAAATTTTTTTCTTCGCCATATAAGGTCACATCACGCACATTCCAAAATACCGAGGTCATAACCTTCTCCGTCGATTGTTGTGCTTTCGGGCGCATTGGCGTTCTCCACTCAGATGACGATCGTTTTGATTCCGGAGTGAAGTGATGGATCCATGTTTCATCCATTGTCACATATCGACGCAAAATTTCGATTTGTTAAGTTAAAACATGGACAAAAACTGCTCAGAATCATCAAGACGTTCTTGTTTTGGGTCAATTGTGAGCTCGCGCGGCACCAACTTTGAACAGAGCTTTCTCATAGTCAAATGCTCATACAATATAAAGCCAACACGTCTTTTGATATATGTACAATATCCGCTAACTCACCAACTTTTCTTTTCGATCATTCAAAATGATTTTGGGGATTTTTTTTCTGTTTTCTGGTGTTTAGTGCCTGATTTGGACCGCATTATCGGTGTCTCTACGGCCACGTTTACAGTCAGCAAACCAAGGTTTAATTGTTATTTCTGATGGAGCGAAGTCCTCATAACACTTTTCAAGCCCTTGCTTTGCTTGAACGGTATTTTCTCCCATCAAGAAGCAGTGTAAAATTAAAACACGAAGTTGTTTTTGACATTCATTAAAATTACAAAAGTAGTGTCACAATCACTCACAAACTTATGAGTAAAATATCAAGAAATTTAAACAGCTTTCTTTTGAAGGTAAGTAATAACTGAAAAAGTGGTGAATGCAGTATATTTGTGTTAGGCTCGAGAGTTTTCAGCTCGTGTAATAAATTATGCACTACTGATCCGCTCACAGTTGCCAAAATGGCAAATATAAGTGGTGTAACTCCTTTTTCATTATCAATTTGTTCTGAACTGAACAGTTTTTGGTTGTAAATCGAGAAACAGAATAATATGGATAGTCGAAATTCTAGAATCCAGTTAGTTTGAGTTAGTATGAGGGTAGATTGTGTAGTGTTTCTGAAATATACGGAAAATGGAAGCTTCAATAATTCAGAGTGATTTCGAAAAAGATATGCTGGTTATTGACAATTCCACATATTATAAAACTGATATGTTGAAAAGTTAGAAAATGTTTTGGCTGTGTGAAATAGAAGTGTAACGTGAGAAATTATTCACGCTCAGCTCTGATCTCATTAGTAATCGAACTGACTCAGAATACAGCCACGATTTCGATGAGCTTGAATTTGATAGAAATACTTCGTCCAACATACGAGGTCTGTTCAACAAATATTTACTTATTCATCGATTTCTATTTTGTCCCATTTGAAGTATATCCCCTCAGATATGATACAGTCGTGCCAGCGTTTATTTAATCATGAAAGCAATTATGATATGCACTTTTGTTATGTCTTTGAGTTCACTTGACGATTCGGTTGTTACTTCCAAAATCGTGGGAAAACTTCATCCTTTCATATGTCTTTTCAATCTTGGAAACAGAAAAAAGTGGCAGAGGGGCCAAATCTGGCGAATACGGTGGCGAATACTGTATTGTTTTTGACAAAAAAATAACGAACAAACAATGACGAGTGAGCAGGTGCATTAACTTAATGCAGAAGCCATGAAATGTTTTTCCACAATGCCGGACGTAATGTTCGTATTGCTCCTCGCAAGCGGCGCATAACTTCAAGGTAATACTACTTATTGACAGAAAGACTATATGGCAAGACTTTATGATGCACTACGCCACGGTAATTGAAGAAAACAGTGTGCAAAACCTTGATAGTTAATCGAATTTGATCTGGTTCTTTTGGTCTTGGCTTTCGTGGGATCTTTCATTGGGACGATTGAACTTTGGTTTCGATGTCATAACGATATGCCCATAATTCTTCACCAGTTTACACTCTTTCGAGCACATCTGCATCGCCGTTGACGTCATTCAAAAATTTCTGGGCGATGTTCATGCAACGGTTTTTTGGTCAAAATTCAGCAATTTTGGAAAGAAGCACACGCTTCATGACCAAAAATGTACGGAAAAATTGCATGTCATGAGAAAATCCATATGCCGACATCGTCAGCAAATCCTGTAACAGTTATTCGATGATTCTCCATAACAATTTTCTCCACTTGCTTAACATTTTCATCTGTTGCGAAGAAGGCGGGTTGGCTGTCTTTCACTGCCTGAATCACTGTGCATGCTGTTTTTGGCGAGTGCATTGGCTTGAGATGTGGGGTTGAGCAAACCGGCCATCGGATGCCTGCTTCAACGTAGCCCAGCTGGATACGAAAATGAGAGAATCACTTGTGGTTCTGTTATTTCCTAACGGAATGACATCCTAAGGTGTGTGTATCCGTGCCGATAGGATGAATGACACTGAACCAGCTGTCTCTACGACCCTTCGAGATACCGGGCGCCCTCTCGTCGTAGCATCACCTTGTCACGGTAATGCGGGGCTCTGCCGTAATTGAGCTTCTTTCCCTAGCTACTCGTGGGACTTTTATGAACAGAGTGAACTCAAAAATTCTTCGTGACGCTGAGTCTACAGAAGAGATGGATGTCGAGCTTACGACTCCAACTGACCTCTCTGTAAATCTAGATTAGGAGCGAGAGCTTCTCAACTCTCCAACTCTTGATCCAATAACGCAACCTAAACAAAGGTTTGGTGGTGCAGCCAGGAAACGACTGAGTCGTCTCCTCAAGAGCGGAGTACCTCATGAAACCACCTTGCACGCAGAATTTGTCTCAGGTGGAGGAACAAACCCCCCATGAGCAGGTTAGCAAACGTTTGCGCTCAAGTGATGATTTATCAAAACCAGAGGCGTAAAAGCCCTGCACGGCTGAATCTAAGGCATCGTCAGGTGTAGCTGACGTACAAAAACCCTCATATGGGAAGGTTGTCGCGGGTATCAGGGTGGGAATCTTGCACCTTGATAATCCGACTACCTCATTAACGATTGAACAGCAGAGCATATACTTTGTGCCTTTGTATTTTTAGAGTTCGGCAGAGCCGTACACTTACCATCTGAACTGAAAGACCACTCACCATACAAAGTAATAGGATTCGTCAAGAAGATAGGTTTATTTGGTCGAGTGTGAATAGGTGTGAGCTACAGTAAACCCTTGCGGGTTGCAGTAGAGGGTCGAATAGACCCACTCACTTTGGATCTTACCCAATCTAATGTGTTGCCAAAGAGAACGCTGTTATTCACATCTTCTCGAATTTCTGTGAAAAGCTTGTACCACATGCGAACATAATTCTGACTCAAAATACAATCACCATTTTTTGTCGATAGCAGAAAATTGCCGAAAAGTGTTCGCTGACAACTAGCCAAAATTCGCCAGAAAGTACTACAGCTAATGTCGCCCTAAAATTATACCCAACTGACTGTTGGAAAATATGTCGCTGAAAACTGTTTTTCCGTCAACCAGCTGTCATTTTTTTATTCTCAGAAATCGAAACTTCTGCGAGCTGAGAATAACCAAGGTCTTACCTTTCGACGTGCGACAGGTTCAACGATACGCAGTGAAAATCGATCGTCTGGTCGTAGAGCTCGAACCAACGTTTCACATAGTGGTCGATTATATAAGTGGGCTGAACCACTCATGTATGAATAACCGGCTACCGTCTCACAACAACGACTACTATCAAATGCAACAGTTCAGTTGATGAGTTTTTTACGCACGTGCCAGTCGTATTTTGGTGAGGATTTCATATCCATCTATTCACATCTAATATGATGAAGCCCCATTTTCTCATTCAGCCGTACACCATCAATGATTTTGAGTGAAAGTTAGTGGAAAATTCACCGAGGAATTTGTGCGGCTGTCAACAAAGTGGCTCACTCGTATTTATCTGAAATAATAAGTACTTTTTTTATGTTAAACCGTTTTATTGGAAAAAAAAATTTAGAAAATGTATTGGAAACTGAAAAATTATTCGAAAGGCCCTAAATAGCAGTCAACACCGCTCTCCTCAGCAATCTACGGTGTCGATCAGATAAAAAAATAATAAAATCGTTGGGCGTAGCGGTGTGGGGACTGCTACCTAGGTTCTTCCGAATTATTTATTTGTTTTCAGTACATTATTATCTTTTCCTTTTCAATAAAACCGTTCAACGAAAACTTTATTCACTCATTTTATTTTCATGTTTACAGTTTCTAATCTTCATCCACCCTAATGCCAAACAGTTTGCGGCACGTTTTAGCCTTTTACAATAACTTGGGTGTATCGCTAACACAATACAAAATCTTGACTTGGTTTGGAGATCCATGCTTGTATCTCGATTACGAGTTCTGATTCTGATTCTGAGTTCTTTGTAAAGATATACTACTATAGTACTAGTCAAACCTTGTCATTTGATACCAATATTGAGGTAGTTGTGAAATAATATGTAATCCGCCATTTTGTAGCTGCGGTCATGTTGAATTCACATCTTTCTCAAATTTTACTAACATTCTATAGGTCAAGCCCTGTCATTTGATACCCTTTTTGAGTTAATTGTGAAAAATATGTAATCCGCCATTTTGTAGCTGCGGCCATCTTGAATTTGCATCTGTTTCGAAGTATATTACTATTCTATTGGTCAAGCCCTGTCATTTGATCCCCATATTGAGGTAGTTGTGGAAAAATATATAATCCGCCAATTTGTAGCTACGGTCATCTTGAATTTGCATCTTTTTCAAAGTGTACAACTATTCTACTAGTCATGTCCTGTCATTTGATCCCCATATTGAGGTAGTTGTGGAAAAATATATAATTCGCCATTTTGTAGCTGCGGTCATCTTGAATTTGCATCTTTTTCAAAGTGTACTACTATTCTACTAGTCATGTCCTGTCATTTGATACCCATATTGAAATAGTTGTGAAACAATAAATATCTAATTCGACATTTTGTAACTACGTCCATGTTGATATTGTTGATACAGAATTTATTGAATTGTAATGTCATCAAAAGTAAATGTGTGTACCAAATATCAAATCAATCTATCAATAGGAAGGGGACAAACTTCAATTACTAAAATTGACCCAAACAAACAAATAGGGCAAGCTGAGTAAAACCGTTCAATTATAATTACGAGTAAAGACTCAGCTCCAGATTTCGAGATATATCCTTCAACTTCGCAGTCAACGCACATACCACTTATATATAGGTTCAAAATCTTCGAATATGTTAATTGGTTTGAAAATGTAGATCTTAATGAATATGTTGAACAAAATTAACTTTGGTTGTATACAATTCATGTCAATGCCCTCCAAAAAATTCAAGGTTTATTCATCTTCTCATTGATTCCAATTTTGGATTTGGATTGTCGATGAAGCACAATTTCAGTACAGTTTTGTTTCATTTTTTTAAAAACTTTTCCATTCTACGTTGAAGTAAACAAACATTATATTTTGTTTTCATTTTCAGATCCACAAGATTGCCCCTAGAGTATTTCTGCCAAAGGAATTATTAGAAAAATGTTCGAGATGTGGGAAATACTTATCGGTTGGGCCTATAAAATTGGAGAAAAATAAACCTGTTTGTGGCAGATGCTTCCAAATAGAAGGAAATCCGTTACCAGCATACGAAAATTTAGCCCAGTTCATGGTTTTTCCGTGTGTCAACGACGTGCACGGTTGTGATGCTACATTAGCATGGGGATCTGTTGCATCGCACGAGAAGAGTTGTCAATTTTCTCCATTAGAATGCCCAGCGTTAACGTGTGAAAAAAAAATTGAATCCAAAGAAATAATCGAACATTTCCAAGAGGAACATCAAGATCTCCTAATCACCGGTAATCAGTTCAATATTCCTTGTAGTTACGGTGGTGTCAACGAATATGTCAATATGCTGGCATTGTGGAAGAAAAAGCCTTTGATAGTGAAAATTAATTATTCTAATAATTGTTGTTTCTGTAATATTTTGACACTGTCCAAGGCTGAACAGTTGAAATACAGTCTCTTCTTAGAAGACAATAAAAAGCAACAAAGTCTTCAAATAAAAAATATATCTTTATCACAGTACAGGATCAAACATCATGATAATCTGACTATGACAAAAATCGACGTAATTGTCGTGAAGAAAGTTTTAAATTCAGAAAACGTGATTTGTACCTTCAACATATCAACAGAATCACAAAACGACACTCCACTCAACACAAATCTTTTGTTAGAATTGGAATGCCCCATTTGCACAAATTACATGATACCTCCAATATTTATGTGCGCTATAGGGCATAGTTTATGTGGTAATTGCAAGCAAAACATCTCGATGTGTCCATCATGCAGAATTGAGTTGAAGGATAACAGAAACTTTTCTTTAGAAAAAGTTACAGATCACGTCTTGTTTCCTTGTAAATTGAGAGAATATGGTTGTTTTTTTGTGGGTAAAATCAAAGAACTGAATGCACATGAGTTGATTTGCCAAGCTCTGGATACAACTGAAACTGAGTGTTACATCAAGTATTTATCACCTTGTAATTGGAAAGGAAGACATTCAGAAGTAATTTCCCACATAACGAAAATGCATTCGAAATATTTTTTTGACATCAATGATTTTATATATTTTGATTTGAGTATATTTGAAAAACTGAATGTCTTTGCTGGGAATGGAGGAAACTGTTTCAAATTGTGTGTAATTTTTACCACGAACAGCTTCAAATTTTGCGTCAAATTAATTCAAAACAAGTTAAGAAATTACGAGCAGTGTCGTTACTTCATTGATTTTACGGATCTTAATGGATATGGACGAGTTTTATTGTTGGATGGAGATTGTATTCCTTCGTCAGCCAATGATGACAATATGAACGATTGTTTGAATATACCTTACTCGTTAGTAAAACCCTTTGTGAGACTGAACAACCTTCAGTTCAAAATAAATATAATGGCCATTTATCACAGTGATTTATATATTTGAGAAATCCCTTCGAAGCAATTGATATTTATATCTTCTTTGAAACTGATTGAAATGAAGTGAGATTGCTAATGTTGGAATTAATTTCAAATATAGAATCTATTTCACTGGATTATCAAAAATCAAGATTCTCAAACTTTGTGTACCTATCCATTTGGAAGGGGTCTATTTTCTGTAGGTCATTTGTTGGGAAAAAAATGAATCAATGAAGTCGCCCCGGAGCGCCAATTAATTTTTATTGTTGTATTTATTTTATTTTTATCGTTGTTTTAACATATTGTAATATTTTTGTCATTTGCAAATTGTCAATAATAAATCATGCCAGAACGATTAAATTACACAAAATTTCAAAATCATAATGTACAACACAGAAAAGCAATTTTTTTAATTCGAAAAATACATCTGCATTTGGACCTGAGCCATATATTTTGGGGATACAACATCTTTTGAAACATATCTACTCATGTCTTTCTCAGATGATGGACATTTGATTAATAGTGCTGGTAACTTTTCTTGTATTTCTTTCACAATCAGAATGCTCAGTATAATTCTTGAAAATTCTATGGAAAGTAGAACTTCATACATACTAATTTTCTGTTTCAGTTATATTACATTGATTACTTGCCTTCTTTGAAAACGTCAACTTTTTGACAATTCTGTACGGAAACGAAAGTTGTGAAGTTCCGTTTTATATAATTTCATAAATTATATTCAATGTCAGTTTCGTTAACGAAATATATATCAACGATTCTAACAGCAACAAATCTAGTTTATCAGGATCAAAATTGATGGAGAAATTATTCAGTTCGGAACCCCTATCAGCCTTAAGCACAACATTTACAAAATTAAATGAGATCGAATGTTTTTCTCGACCCTAGGACTTGCAAGGGTACGTGAATAAGTAATGCCATGCTCCTAGTTTTCCCACATTGACCAGAGTGGAATTTTCAACGAGCACTTTCATTAGACAGTGACTAATTTTCTGGAATAAAATCCACTTATAATTTTCATTGAATTATATGCAATGTGTTTTCATTGTGTTAAGTTATTACCTTGAATGAATGAAAATAAATATACTAGCAACATATTTTATTGCTGTATACAATTTGGAAGACATCAGACAGTTACAATTTCATTCACGTTTAGAGACATCCGCCACTGGTTTGTCGACCACCACTAGTTTGTCGACCGCCACTACTTTTCCTACCTCCACTGACTGCTCTCCGACTTCGACTTCGTCTCTTTTTACTTCTTCCCCTTCTACTTCGTCCCCTTTTACTTCGGCCCCTTCTACTCCGACCTCTTTTGCTTCGGCCTCTCCTACCCAGGCGTAGTCTGCTTCGGCCTCTTCTACCTCTCCTTCCTCGCTTACTACTCATTCGCCCAATTTTTTTCTTTCTCATCGAACAGGCTTCTCGATAAAATCTCATTCGATCCTGTTGATTCATTCTACACCAACATTTGGCACCTTCGATAGCAATTTTAGTAGCAGGCCAGCCACATCTTTTTCTTCTGAATAACCTCATGTAGTTAAGAAATGGATTATTTGTCTTTGGCCCAGGTCTAGCGCACTTCCCACGAATTTTTCCTTTCCCACCTCTTTTTCCTCTTTTTAGTCTCAATCTCTTACTCCTCCTTCTAGCTGACCTTCGGCTTCTTTTACTTCTTCGACTCCTTCGACTTCCCACGCGACTTCTTCGACTTCCTTTACGGCTCTTTCTGCGACTGCTTCGCCGACTACTTCTGCGGCTCGATCTGCGACTTTTTTTATGACTTCTGCGACTTCTTTTACGACTTCCTCTACGACTTCCTCCCTTGGAGCGCCTTCTGCTTTTACTTCTTGTTTTTTGGGAGCCTTTCACCTCTTGTTGTCCACTTCCTTTGCCGCCACTTGCCATTTTGCAATATTGGGCTGGAGTGAGTCTGCAACATCCCATTTTCGATTTTTTGCGGCATCCTGATTTCGATCTTGACCCGCGCCTTGACCGAGCCATTTCAGTACATGAATTTTGTTTAGATACATTAATTTAATGATGTTTCAAGACATTTCTGTAACTTTTCATTGTGAATTTTGAGTCATGACAGTCAACAACTTTATTTTTTGTTATTCCGTTGTTGAGGGGTTTCCTGGAATACTTGACAAATGTACGATATAGGTAGTAAGCTAACTTTGATATTGGTGTAACTCATATCATCGTATATGATAATGAAATCATTTTGGGTGTTTCAGTTCATATCTCTCGTACAGACATATTTTAGATTCTGAAATATGTTTTCAAATCTAAATCGTTTGTAAAATATATTCATTTGGAGAAATGGTGGGAAAGTTGTCTTGAAAAGTTCAGTTTGGGATATATTGGAGGGTTTTTTGTGATGTTAAGATCTTCAATCAAGCAAATAGGCAATTTTTTATAGGAGCAGGCTCAGGGTATTCTTGAGTGCGGTAGTGAGGCATACCCAAAAGATGATCAGAATTTGTCTCTCTCGATACATAACTCAATGAGGCATATAAGAAAGAAAATATCTTAAAATTTCAACATAATAATCATGAAAAGATTTTCAACATAATAAAATGCACTGGATGAGTAGTATGAACGTATAGGATTTGTCCTGAAATTTTTAAAACATTTTGGTAATGGAGGAAAAGTCCAAATCTACTGTCAGTTGTAATGTCAATGTGAAAAGTAGTGAAGTGTTCTTATAGCATGGAATTTCAATTGAAGAAATGTCGCACAGAGTGAATACCTGTACCAACTATATAAGGCGTGAAATCTGACGTATTCAAAGAAATCAAAAAATATTTTCAATGAAAATGATGATGTAGATATATTATATCATCAAATGAAAAATTGATAATTATAAAATAATAGATTTTGAAAAAAAATTAAGTACCTATTTTGTAAATAACTTTTCAATACAAATCATTAAATTATAAGACAACAATAAAAATTATTTAATTAATTAGATTAACATAAATTTTAAGAGTGATAGTATGACAATGTAATGGGTGGATTTTTAAATGTGTCGTTTCTGGGAAACTTCTGAAACTTCTTTTATGTAAACCGTTAGAATGATCTAATATTTTGACTGTATCATATGAAATTATATGGTACAAGTTACTGAAATGATACTTTTCATATCACTTCTTTTAGCAGTGATTGCGTCTGCTGATTTGACACATGTACATTTGATTGCAATCTACACAGAAATCACATAAACTTTTACATAAACATGAACAATTTAGGAGAACTGTCATAATAATTAGCTTTCAAAGAATACAAATGGTGAGGTGTCGATTTTGAAAAAAATGTGAATATTATGAATTCAAAAGAAAAAAGGTGCTTTTACTCATTTCCCAAGTTCCCGGCCTGCAAAGTTCCAAAAATTGCAACTCCTTTTGTAAACTATAGAAAAATACAACTTTCAGTCTGTGACACTTTTCAGTTTTAAAACATTGACGGAGCTGCTTTTTCCCGAAATGTCACTAGTGAAGTAGTGAATAACTTTACAATGTACGGGTGTCAACAAAAAACGAAACCATTATTTATTCACATCTTTAATAAACTGTAAAGGTGATGTGGCGGATTAATAATTGTGATTATATAGTTTGTATTGTGCGAAAAATAGTTTCGAAACTTTGGAGGGTTGTTACTCTTGAAATGAGGGAGAGCATCAATTCATTTTCGGGTTCGTAATATTTTTTTTTTGGCAAAACACAAGCACTATAGAAACATCCTTGGGGCGCTCCAAGAGCGGTGACTGTGCGAAAGTAGCGATTCACGTTGGTTTTGAATCGCTGGAGATTAGATTTATTTTAGAAAACGTTCTCAGGAAGTTTACTCCACATACATGCAGTTTTCCAGATGGAAGAGTTCTTGAACAATGAAGTTCGTTGAGTTGAGTTGAGTTGAGTTGAACCTCAAAACGATGAGCAGCCACAGGCCGTCGCGCTTCTGGTGGAATCAAATGTGCCAAGTCATTCAAACACTTCCCGTGAAAATATCTATAGAAGAGAGACAAATCTCCAACCTTTCTTATGTTCCGGACTGTCAAGGTTGCAAGTAATGTTCGCGTCTCCAATCAGGCGAATGGTTTTTTTCTGGATGGAATCCAGCAGCTTCAGGGTATGTCCAGGGACAGAGCTCCATACATGGGAACAATACTGCAAAGAAGGTTGATCTGAACTTTATGAAGCATCAAAAGTTTCTGAGGTGTGTGAAGTTTTCTGGTTCGGAAAAGTGATCCAAACTTTTGAGAAGCAGCCTTTGCAATTTCAGCGATATGATAATGCCAAGACATATTGGTGTCCATTTCAACCCCCAACAAACTTATCGATGCCTGGGTTTTCGTGGCATTGAATTGAACCTGGTCACTTTCATCCCTATTCGAAATTACCTCTATAGATCCTGCCGATAAAGACGAATCCGCAGCCGATCTCCTGGAATCCAAATGGAATGACAAGTATGCTGTCGTCAGCGAAGCAATATATTAGATTCTTGTTTTTTTTCCAATGAGTCGATGAAAGAGGATTGGAATCAATATGGATCCCTGAGAAACACCAGCGTATTTGAGAGATAGTCATCAACGACAACTTGCAAGAAGAGTTATTTTAGAAATCTGGAGAGCCATACACAAAATGATTCAACAAGCCATAGTATCGAAGTTTGGCCAGCAAACCCTCATGCCACACACAAAATGTTAAAGCCTTTCAAACATTCAATGATGTGATGGTTTACAGCTTTCTTCATGAGTTTTAATATCACTAATAGCCAAGCGACTGGTGTTATGTTATTTGGAAGTTTTTTATTGCCTTTTTTGGGAATAGGCTGAACGCGAGCAATTTCCCAGCAAGAAGAACAGACTCCTTTCTTGTAAGATAGGTTAAAAAATCTGCAAAATACTGGTGCGATTTTATTAGCGCCAATGAATCCAAATACATAGGAACACACTTTTGTTTCCAAAATCAATGAATACAACGTATCTGAACACCAGATCATGGGATTTACTAACTCATAACT